CTGTTCACATCCCATATGTTCTTTTACCCGTAGATAGTCTATAGTCGTAAGATTTTGGAGTGCTACACCTTGCACCCCTCCCAACTCCTGGTTGAGTTCCAACAGTACAGATCCGGTCAAATTTGTTGTTTTACTGAAAGCACAGGCCAGCTTAGATATCTCCTTCTTCATTCCAATGGCAAGTCCAGGAACCAGTGGGATGACTGCAGCTACAACTGCAGCATTGCCTGGATCTTTGTTGAGGTTTTTTGGTGATCATCTTCTGGTATGACTCTTCCAGAGAGTTCAACGTTTTTTCAGACTTCTTTTGTTCTTCACATTTCTTTTTGGTTGCTTTCATAGATAACAGCTGTTGTTGAAGAACTTGATTTCTTTCAACTAGTTGACATTCTAAAGATGAAACTTCCAGTTTTGTTGAAAGATCAACAACCTACATGAATAAAATAATGGAGTTTGGTAATGAAGAAGATAGAGTAAGAATAGTCCAAGTCAAAGCCAGTATTAAATTTTAAAATAAATTTAGTTATAATAAAATGTTACCCATAACATAGTAGAGTCTTAGAACACTGAACCTTGAATTACTTAATTAAGAACAAAGTTAAAACCATCAGGAATCAAAATAATACACCCTGTACTGTCATTTTTTGCCATATACAACATTTGCACTTGGTTTTATGCTCTTCTATTTTTATATCATTGTTCCATGTCTTTGCTCCATAAAGTTATTATTTATATGTCACCTCTCAGTAGGAAAGTTCCCCCATCCTAACCCTTCCTGATTTTAGAAGAAGTTACAGAACTATCACATTGAGTTATTTAGGCCTAAGTCAATAAATGCCTCCCCAAAAAAGACTCTAATTAATGATCTATAAATATGTATTCTAATGCCCTAAGCCTTTTTCTCAACTACAAATGTTTTATGCTAATTTAAATCAGTTTCCAAGGAACGGATTGTCACAGTTAAAAATTCACATCTCCCAATATGAAATTTTAGTGAGGTGATCCATACATTTTTTTTTTTTGAACAATGCCACAACTCCATAGTGCTATCTTGTAATCTTTTGTACTTACCACCAAATAAGAAAACATAATAAACAAAAAGAAGAAAACCTTTTGTAATTTCAGTGATACTAAGCTGGGAAGAACTATTTTCCTTTAAATACAATGATTATTTGGTAAGACAAGGTCAATGGATGTGGTGGTTTTTACAAATTCTTTGACACATTTCCTGCGAAATTCCCTCCCCCTTCCACATGTGTGGCCTCACTACCTGGTTTCTAGCGAAGAGAATATGGTGGAACTGCTGTGTGACCCCTTAAGGCTTGGTTAGAAAGTGTAATACAGCTCCCATCTGATTCTCTCTCTCTAGGGAGGCTCACCCTGAGAACCCAGCCACCTTGTTGTGAAGCACCCAGGGCACCCAGTGAATCCTCACAGAGGTGTGCCAACTGAGACTGATGTATTTTCTGTGCCAGCCAAAAGCTGGCTTCAACTGCCAAACACATGCATGTGGCACCTTTAGGTGATTCTAGTCCCCAGTGGTGCATCATCCCAGCTGATGCCAAGTGGAGAAGAAAGAAGCTGGCCTCACTGAGCTTTGCCTAAACTGATTTGTGAACAAAATAAGAACTGTTTTGAGCCACTAGGTTTTCAGGTGGTTTATCATGTGAAAATAAGTAACTGGCACAGATACTGATATTAAAAATGGGGTGCTGCCATTGGGGAAAAAAACCTAAAACACATCAAGAGTGCCTTTGAAGTGGGCAATAGGTGGAATCTGAAAGGAGGTGGAGGAGAGTCAGAATGAGAGCCAGCAGGGCCTCTGGGAGCCTGTCCGTGGGAGCCGGGGCCCTGCAGAGGCTGATAGCAAGGGCTTCCCGGCAGGGAAAGACACTGGAACCCGGAGGAGAGGGGACTCTTGCTCCAAAGCAGCTGAGAGTAAAGATCAGTGAGCGAGATAAGCTGAAGGAGATGATTACACAAAGGAATTAGGGCTTACTAGGGTCAAATATCTGTTTCCCAATTATAGCCTTTCCTCATGTCTAATTGCCAAATAATTCTAAAAGAAATGACTTCTGAACTAAGATCAAATCCAGGGTGCTGCAAGGAAAATACAGCCTAAGGTTGAAGCCAAGACTGTAAACCCTTTGTTAGGACCTCAGAAAGATTGACAGTGGTGCCTCAAATTCCTCTAAGGATCTCCAGAGTTCACACATTTTAAGGCACCATCCTAAGACAGCGTCACAGGGAGGCCGATGGGAAGAGCTTATCTCAGAATGACTCATGAGGGTGGCTCGATTCATAGGAAACTCAAGGTTTTTAAAAACAATATTAGCAAAAACACTGCTTGCTAGCCTGGACTAAAAGAGACCAAGAGAATACAAATAAAAATAAAGCTAGGAGACTACTACGTTTGGTCTAAGTAGGCAATCTTTAGCTCTCTACCTAGTTCCCCAAACAGTCCCTGAACTCTAAACACAATCTGGCCACACACTCAAGTATATTCTCAATACTAGCCTAAAAGATTACTTTCTCCTAATTCTGTTATTTATATATTGCTTTGGTGAGAGTGAGAACGCCAATGTCTTGCTAAAAGGTATTCTGTGTGGTTGTTGGTTGCATAAAAAGAGTAAACACCAAGATTTTGCCACAAAATGATTTTTGAAAACTCAAAACTACATGAAGCCATGCCGAGGTGATCAAGGGTTGAATTCCCTATGCTTTTTTTCTGACCTTCTGTGCGCTCTCTGTCTTTGGGAAGCTGTGATTCACAAAGGGCAGGGAGTATATAATTCACAAACAGAAACATAATGCTAATATTTATCTTTCCTCTATCTCTTAGGGCCATCTGTCCAAATTCTGTGGATGTTGACTGATTTGTGGTCATTGATGGTGAGACAAATGGACAATTACCCTCAGTTGTCAAAGCCCCAGATGTGTGACTTGACTCATTCCTGACAGTGATACATACCAGGAGCAACCGAACCTGAAAAATACAAAAACAAAGTCTCCATGTGTTAGTCTGTAAGTAATGCTACAAAAGTGGGGGAGCTGTGCGGCGAGTGTATCGGAGCAGCACCCCCACATGCCCCCCTCCCCACTGACACATGCGGCTCCCTCACCGCTCACTGCATGTTACATGCCCTGTAATGCCATTCAAGTAGACAAGCTTCATTAACTAACTACTGTCCCTCATTTTTTATACTTTTATATTTTCTATCATTTACTTTGACTGGCTCTTCAATCTCTATTACATATTCTATATTCTGTAGAGCTTTATCAGGAATTAAGATTCTTCAAGGTATGAATTTTGTTCTTAATGAAATTTATAGGTAACCACTTATTTTACATTGAAACATGCATAACGGTTATGGGGTACTGTAGAGACACAGGTTTCAAAAAGCTGTCAGTGAATGGCATCCCCTTAATTGCAGTATGCACCAGTATCTTCAGAATGCACTTGTTAAACCTGGATCAGCCCAGTCTATTTATATGAGAAAAGACAGCTTTGAGTGACCTGTTTCCATGTTAAAAGAGGGCAAGTCGAGGCCAAAGGGTAGTGTGCCATGAGATAGGAAATGAATATAGAGCAAAATTACCCTCTTTTTTAAGACAAAATTGTCAGATTTAAACTTTTTAAAGCAAGTGAGCAAAAAAAGAAATTTGGATGAAAACTTTGAATCCCTTCCATCACAAGGACAGGGAAAAGTTTCATCCATGAGCCCCACCTGGCTTAAAGTGCTGCTTGTGAAGCATCACCTGGGAATCCCTGGAGCCCCAAGATCCATCCGCTCATGGGGTCCAAGACGTCCAAGTATCTTTGCTATAAAGCTCAATGTTACTTACCATTTTCCCTCTCAGTCTGTCAGAAGCGCACAGTGTAACGCTCCAGAGGTAACTGCATGTGGTAAGATCAGAGCACTAACTGCTACTGTGATGTACTGTCATGTGCATTTGTATTTAAAATTTTTCCACTTTAACTTCTAATGTCGAGACTGTCAATATATACAAGCCATTTAACTAAAAGTTCTTCGGAATTCTCAGTAATTTTTAATAATACACAGGAATCCTACGACCAATGCATTTCAGAATTACAATTTTAAAAGTCTGCCAAATATTTCTTAGGGTATAATTACTTTGCCCATTTTTAATACTCAGTGATCAAAGACTCCTCTTTCACACACACACACCCCTAATCAGAACATCTGCTTGGCTTAAGATCATTAGTGTTAAAATGAGATAAAGTAACAACGATTGACATGTAAAGCAAGTGAAGTTGTACATGAAGGTTAGAATTCAAGAAGGAATTCTAAAACACTGGAATAATCTGAGTCTAATGATCTCTGAGAATTCACTAATAAATACAGGGATTTCCAACTGGGAACGTCAGGGTATCAAAACATAAAAGCAGAAACTTCTAAGTTAAAGCTTTCATTTTTAAAAATCTCCTTTTCCAATGTTTATTAGCCTTTTTTCCAAACATGGATACCAACAATGACATGTGCCTTATTTATGTAAAGCCCTTGAATTAAACTTAAAAAAGGAAACAGAATTAGCAATAAGAACACTTGTGAGTATTTCAAATATTTTAGTGTACTTCTTTTCACAGTGAAACATGTATTGCAAAATTTACCTGCTGCGGGTACCTGTGTGGCCTTGTCTACGACCGTTCTGTAGCGGGCAGTGTCTTCTGCTTCCGTGGCAGGCTGAATGGTGTTTGAAACAAAGTGAATAATAAATAACTTAGATTTCATACAGTCTGCGGTTAATTAATCAAGAAAAAATTATGTAAGTCTCACCTTGCGGTGATGATATTTTGCTCGACAACCTAAAAAGCAAAAGGGATAGGTGATCAATGATACAGTAACAGGAAAGCCAACTACATATTCACGCAGATATAGTGCTAAGCTGAATCCTCATGCTCGGCTTTGAGAATTATGACATTAGCTCTTGGTGCTTTGTGGTTTTGAGTGTTTAGGACAGCAACAAGACACAGCTATGCATCCAGTGTGACTGCTGAAGAAAAACGGAGGACTAGAAAGGTTCAACAAAAGATGCAGTTGAGATTTCAAAAGAAAGATAGTGTGTTTCAGATGAGTGTAACTCACACAGAAGAAATGCACGCACGTGCATGTGAACACGCTGACTCCTGGGAAGAAAAGTGATCGTTAGTCAGAGGAACAATTCATGACCCGGAGGGCATGAATGTGAAAGCTGATGGTAGAATGCACTGATGTGCCTCTAATGCGATACAGCAGAGTCATTCTTCATACCCTCATGCTACCAGCATTTGTGAAATTCTTCCATTTGTCCTGAAATTCAAGAAGTACACAGTTGTGATGGCGGTTCAGGGGAATGCCTTTCTCGGCAGAGAGAGTGTTATGCGTTGATCAGGTTGGATATACAGGTTGCAGAATAATAGTTTAAAAACTACTCTTTTCTTCTCATACCTGTGTGGCCTACTGAGATGCCTACATTTCTTACATCCTCTAGTTCAGCCATCTTTCAATTTCTTGATCTGCTCATGCGAGAAGGTATACATAAAAAACACCTCCAAGAGATAATGTATGATGTATAATGAGCTTACAGTACTGAAATATGGCTACTGAAAAGGAAGAAAGAAATTTAATTGCTACTGAATTACTAGGTATCAAAAAACTTTTCTATTTCAAGACCAGTGTAACGTTTCCCAAAAGTCACAATTTTATTTAGGGAATGAACTCTCATTTCTCCTTTCCCAAATTAGTTTGCCTTGGTGTACCCTGCTAGCCCTCAAAAGAAGTTTTGTGAAGCAACTATCTTACCAGAAAAATTGTCTTAAAAGTGTAACAGCCAGTGCTTCCCTATTCAAATTAATTAAATAACCCAATTAAAAAATGGGCAGGGGATGTGAACAGACACTTGTCCAAAGAAGAAATTCAGACGGCAAACAGACACATGAAAAGATGCTCCACATCGCTAATTATCAGGGAAATGCGAATTAAAAGCACAACGAGGTATCACCTCACACCAGTTAGGACGGCCAACATCAAAAAGACCAGGAACAACAAATGCTGGTGGGGATGCTGAGAAATGGGGAACCCTCCTATGCTGCTGGTGGGAATGTAAATTCGTTCAACCGTTATGGAAAGCAGTATGGAAGTTCCTCCAAAAACTAAAAACAGAAGTACCATGCGACCCAGGAATTCCACTCCTAGGAAATGACCCAAAGAATACAAGTTCTCAGATTCAAAAACTCANGAATTTCTCTTCTTTCTTGAGGGAAGCCTGTATTGCAGTATACTTTTAGAACTGCCTTTACTGAGTCCCACCAATTTGGGGGTGTTGAGTTGTTTTCATTTGTCTCCATATATTGCTAGATCTGTTTTAATTTGGTCATTGACCCATTGATTATTTAGGAGCATGTTAGTAAGCATCCATGTGTTTGTGGGGGGTTTTTTTGTTTTCTTTGAATAATTTATTTCTAGTTTCATACCTTTGTGGTCTGAGAAGGTAGCTGGCATGTTTTTAATCTTCTGAATTTAGAGGCTCTTCTTGTGGTCTAGTATGCGACCTATTCTGGAAAATGTTCCAGGTGTACTTGAGAAGTATGTGTATCCTGCTGCTTTTGGGTAGAGTGTCCTTAGATGTCTGTTAGGTCCATCTGTTCTAATGTGTTGTTCAATGCCTCTGTCTTCCTTATTTATTTCTGTCTGGTTTATCTGTCCTTTGGAGTCTCCTAAAATGAATGCATTATATTCTATTTCCCCCTTTAATTCTGTTAGTATCCTTTTTCCATCCCTGCCCCCAGAGCAGATCTCCATGGGGGGTGAGTTTAGCAGTCCTGGGCTTCTACTCCCTTCACTTTTAGTCTGTGTATGTCTTTGGGTTTGAAGCAAGTCTCTTGTAGGCAGCATATAGATGGGTCTTGCTTTTTTATCCATTCTGTAACTCTGCGTCTTTTGATTGGTACATTCAGTCAATTTACATTTAGGGTGATTATCGATAGGTACGTATTTATTGCCATTGCAGGCTTTAGATTCGTGGTTACAGAAGGTTCAAGGGCAGCTTCTTTACTATTAACAGTCTAACTTGACTCACTCATTACAGTAGTTCAAACACAATCTCATGGTTCTTTTTTCTTTTGTTCTGGAGTGGCCAGTTGTGGGTTACTGTTCTCCCCAGGTGGCTGGTTTCTCAGTCTCTCCGAGTATTCTGCCCATCTTTGCTTTCCAGCCTCTCTCATCACCAGAGCACCAGGCAGTGTGGGTCCCTGCCCCCAGAGCAGATGTCCATGGGGGTGAGCTGAGCAGTCCCAGGCTTCTGCCCCCTTCCTGCTCCATCTCGCTCCCTCTCGCCTGTGAGCTTGGGCTGGGGGTGGCCTGGGGTCCCGCTGGATCGGGGCTC